ACTATTTGAGCACTTTCCGTCCAAGAGTGGCGTACAGGATCGATTCTAGAACTAATGATTCCACATCAAACGCATGAGGCGCGTCTCCAACCTTAATTCTCGCATCATCACGCGTTCAGATTACATAGAGTAGCGCCTGTCTCTATATCATTATCCTCTCACACCGATATCGCAGGAAAACTATACAACAGCGACAACGCAATCCTAACTCTCAACCATAAGACACAATACTCTACACCAAACTCGCTATCAGTATTCCGCACCATCACACCACACGAACGACAATTACGAAAAGCACCGTCTATGTACTGAAACATATCACATATCGCCTCTGATTCCTGCTGCAGGCTCTCACCAAACATAGCTACTACACACTTAACACATCGTATCACAACTATTCTCAGCAGCACGATCAACATAACTTCTCAGCGGCGCCACCAGCCCTCCTAATCACACAGCCAACGATCCTACCTTAATATTATGTTGTCCCACGGCAGGCTCTATATCCTCAACTCAACACAGGCTATACGATAACACGACCAAGCCACATCGCTCGTCCAAATTCACACACACACGTCTCTACACATAATTAACACCAACACGAAGACACTCACAACACACTCATTTACGCACGCGTCTCATGAATCCTCCGTCCCCTCTCATGAAGTACATCCCGTCCCGAATCGACCTCCTGACGCTCTTCCAAACTGCTATCATCGACTGTTAGTCCAAGGCTCGTACAATCGCGTGCATAACGCTCAAACTACTCCTTTCTATACATGACAAAACCACAGATCAGTCAATCGAATAACTCTACGACTTATCAAACTACTTCGTGCATCATACACTCATCAACAGCTCCCGTACTATTACAAACCAGTCTCACCAGCTAATACAATAGATTAATAACTCAGCTCCGCATTCCTTTTCAATCGCCAATCGAAGATTGTGAACATAAATGCCAGCGATTTCCTCTTCTCAGTACCACTCTACACCGCGCGTGAAACATGTTGCTTGACCCATGGCGACAATCTCGACAACGTCACACTAGTCAGCGCCCTCATACACCAGAATCAACATCGACGACACAAAGACGACTATACATATGCTCCTTTTCTGATGCAACAACTGATTGCATGATTAAGCCACACTACCGCTCGGCGCTTATTCATGATCAGTCTTACGTGGTTGGCCAGCAGTGGTGCACACGGCGATGCCTGCTCTGCATACGACTAGAACAATACAGTAGTATAGCACTCGCCACATAGATCAGCCCTTTACTCTCCCTGTAGGCTCCTCCTCTCGTGCTGACCTCTAGCAGTCTCCACTACTGCAACTGCCGCCTGCACTGCTATCTAAGCCCTCCAGCTAACGCGTGCGTGAGGCACACGACTCTGGCGCCTATCAACTTGCACTGCGCAGCCTCCATCAGGCCGACTCGAACCACCTCCGCGTGACATATCAAACTCGCATGCCACTGACTCCTGGGGCCACATATTATTCCACTCGGAGCGATAAAATCCCAGTGCGTGACACCTTACTAAACTACTACCATCTCGGTCACTCGCCATCATCAAAATCCACTTCACCTGAGTGTTGAGCGCAACTGCTCAAAGCGCCACCTGACATCTACGAGTCGCGGACGCAAGTAGCCCTACACTCTATACACCGCCTCGACTAGCCAGACTATATATATTAGCGATCCATCTATCGTAGTAATTGTCACTATTTAACAAGCACAGCTGCAATCCACGAACCTGGCGTACATTCGACCACACTCGATGATATTCTCAACCCTTCCCATCGTGCAACACACTTCTACCTCATAGATATCCGCCTTCTATAAACTTATCCACACTCCGTAGTTATAACCTGCGTTACTTACGATCCTGCTGCCCGTAGTCTCGTCATACGCCAACACCTCATCGCCATTAGAAGCCATGACTCACAGCGCGCTAGAGCGCATACACACTATGACTATCGTCTCCAGTCCACGTAGTGACCTCACATGTCATATCCGCTGCATGCATTGCCAGCTATCCAAGGTGACCACATGCTTCGCGTACCTTCTCATTATCCTCCTTCATCGTGTAGTATCCTACATCTCATGCAGCTGACGTTGTGCTGACTGAACGCTGACTATAGTCATGATTGGTGTCTGTGCAAAGCTCCAACCATTATGCCCACTAATACCCCCAACCAATATCATTTTCCTTTCTATGTTCCAAACAGAAGCATCCCGGCTGCACCATTGTAGGCTCATTCTGCTCACATCGAGGAGGTAGCTCGATCGCACCAACAGCACTCATGCTCAGGAGGAGGGAGGAGGAGGAGGAGGAGGAGAGGAGGAGGAGGAGAATGGAGCCCAAATCGTTGGCATCGGCCATGCGGCGATCACTCCCGTCCGGCTGCGCGTACAAGTGCCGCATACCTTCCGAACCGCATAACTGCATGACAAGCGTTTCGCCGCACTCGTGCGCAAAGTGATGTGTATACTATCCACGTGCGTCCGACATCTACCGACTGCGGACCTCGTCACGATGCGTATAGGCTCAGACTACGATCGATACGCCTCCACGCGTGACACGTACTACATGACAATATACAGTAACATAGCACTCTGCCATTCACACCTCATCTCATCAGAGGTCAGCCACCGTCGCGCAGCAACTACACTTCAAGCTCTATCATACAGCTAGGGTGAGCCAACATGGTCTCCACGAGGGCGAGACATTGTAACACTCCGCAACATCAGCCCAGCCTATCCGGAACAGCAACAGACAGAGCGACTAGTGATAGCACACGAGTTACGCGCGATAATTGCCACGGTCACTACCACTAATCTAGTACTTACTATATTGACGAAATCTCAAGCCCCGCCCGGTAGCTAGCGACGCGTCTCCCAACGGTGGCACGTAATAAAGCAGCCAAGCACGGTGTCCCGCAGCGTGCGAAGCATGAATCGACGTACGCTAAGAGCGTCAGGCACACATCGATTGGTGAGCATAGAGCGTCGCTAGTGATAATGTGCGATTACGTCGCATTAAAGCGCCACCTGAATACTACCGCTCTTTCATCGCATGATCCAGAAGCCCCCTTCTCTCTCCGCGCCTCTGTCCGTCGTTCTCACAACTATACTGCTTCACCTGCCAAGCGCAGGATGCACCGGCAACTCCTGCGCTTTCCTGCAACAGCAAACGCCGAGGCACACACACACCTAGCCGAATCTGACGCCGAAAGCTCTCCACTTGACCTACCTGTACTTGACATGCTGGAGTGACAGAATATAAACTTTGATCTGCTACGGGCCTTCTTAGCAGGCCAACCTGAGTATCCCACACTGCGATGTCACTGCGCACTCGACAGGCCGGATCATACACACACAAGACGGCGCTCAACTTAAATCCTTTGCAGCCGCCCCGACAAATCTGTCTCCTAAGACTTATGCCGCGTGACATAGGGTACACTTGCAGAGATGCGAAAATGAGGACTGGACTCCCTTCTCCAGCCATCCCCTGCAATTACAATCGGCACAATGACGTGTCAGCGCGCTACCGACATGATGAGAGCCGAAACGACTCAACAAGACACGACAGGCCCAGCAGCTGAAGACTGTGACACCGAGCGTAGACAATCTGGCGACCACTAGACAAGCTGCGACAGCACAAAGCGTAAGACGGTACTGTTATGAGAAGGAGGAAGAAGCGAAAAGACAGAGGAGAAGGAAAAGAAGAGGGGAGACAGGAAAAGGAAGAGGAGGAGAGGAAAGAGGAGAGGAGAGAGAGAAGGAGAGGAAAGAGGAAAAGGAAAGGAAAAGGAAGAGGAGGGAGAAGGAAAAGGAAAGGAGGAGAGGAGGAGGAGGAGGAGGAGGAGGAGGAGAGGAGGAGGAGGAGGAGAGGGAGGAAGAGGAGAAGAAGAGAAGAAGAGAGAGAAGGAGAAGAAGAAGAGAGAAGAAGAAAGAAGAAGGAGGAGGAGGAGGAGGAGGGGGGGAGGAGGAGGAGGAGGAGGAGGAGAGAGGAGGAGGAGGAGGAGCAGGAGGAAGAAGAAGGAGAAAGCAGGAGGAAGAAGAAGGAGGAGAAGCAGGAGGAGAAGAAGAGAGAAGAAGGGGCAGGAGGAAGAAGGAGGAGAAGCAGGAGGAAGAAGAAGAAGAAGAAGAAGAAGAAGAAGAAGAAGAAGAAGAAGAAGAGAAGAAGGAAGAAGAAGAAGAAGAAGAAGAAGAAGAAGAAGAAGAAGAAGAAGAAGAAGAAGAAGAAGAAAGAAGAAAGAAGAAAGAAGAAGAAGAAGAAGAAGAAGAAGAAGAAGAAGAAGAAGAAGAAGAAGGAAGAAGAAAGAAGAAAGAAGAAAGAAAAGAAGAAAGGAAGAAGGAAGAAGAAGAAGAAGAAGAAAGAAGAAGAAGAGAAGAAGAAGAAGAAGAAGAAGAAGAAAGAAGAAGAAGAAAAGAAGAAAGAAGAAGAAGAAGAAGAAGAAGAAGAAGAAGAAGAAGAAGAAGAAGAAGAAGAAGAAGAAGAAGGAAGAGGAAGAAGAAGAAGAAGAAGAAAGAAGAAAGAAGGAAAGAAGAAGAAGAAGAAGAAGAAGAAGAAGAAGAAGAAGAAGAAGAAGAAGAAGAAGAGAAGAGAAGAAGAAGAAGAAGAAGAAGAAGAAGAAGAAAGAAGAAGAAGAAGAAGAAGAGAAGAAGAAGAAGAAGAAGAAGAAGAAAGAAGAAGAAGAAGAAGAAAGAAGAAGAAGAGAAGAAGAAAGAAGAAGAAGAAGAGAAGAAGAAGAAGAAGAAGAAGAAGAAGAAGAAGAAGAAGAAGAAGAAGAGAAGAAGAAGAAGAAGAAGAAGAAGAAGAAGAAGAAGAAGAAGAAGAAGAAGAAGAAGAAGAAAGAAGAAGAAGAAGAAAAGAAGAACAACAACAACAACACAACAACAACAACAACAACAACAACAACAACAACAACAACAACAACAACAACAACAACAACAACAACAGTAGGAGATGGTGGAAGAGATTAAGACTTACTGTGCTCAGGCAATGTTCTTGGAATAAGGAGCTCCATCGCACTAATACTCTCTGTGATCAGCTGCAGTTCCTCTTCTGAGCTGACATTGGCATGAGACTCGTGTAAGTATTCCAGTATGCGAGGAGCAAGAGCATGAATGTAAGGGGTGGACACTTCACCATCTGTGTGACTGAAGATTGACTCAAGGGTCTGTATACATTGAATGCGAACCTGAAATATTTGAAAGAGAATATTTATTACAATAGAATTTTATAAATAGAAATGAAAAGCAATACTTTTTTATACTCTGATACTCTGTTTTTTAAATATGGTTTCAGTTAAAAAAAAATATATATATATATATAATAATAATAACCATGATAATTACAAGAAACCTCTGTAAGTAAAAATAGGGAAAAAAACATGAGCTAACATTAAGTTGCTGGTGCTGGGTGGCCATCTTGAATAAGTTTATGGCAGGATACTGGAGATTGTGAGGTCTGCTAACTGATGCTGGAGCATGAAGGATTAGTTGTGCAATACCTCTCAGCACAACTACTTCATCTATCACTCTCTCATCATCACCTGAAAAAGAAATGTAGCTTACAAGGTAACTGAATTTTTGTCTTTATAAAACTGATTGATAAAGGATAAGATAAAGGCAATTGAGAAAAAAAAATCCTTTGTACTGCATTGCCACCTGGCACCACTGAAAGCATAACATTATTCAAAGAGACAGTCACTTTTAACTATTCTGGTACTTACTGGTCTTACTCAGATCTATAATATTTGCCAGGGCAGACTGCAGCAGACTGCACCACTGGTCTTGTGATCTGTGATCTCGAGCATAGGGGTGTCGAGCAAGGGTGGCCAAGGCATCAAGTACCACTACCATGGGCACTGGAGTGGGATGTGAGATGTGGCTCAGGCGGGCCTTGCTCCCACACTCTTTAAGCACCCCAGTTATCAGGTACAACACTGTGGGTAAGATGGCTACTCCTCCTGTTCAGATAATTGTTAACAGTTAATATAAAAATTAATACATTTTCATATGCAAATACTTGCCTTTCTTTAAATATGTTGAATGCATTGTCTATATCAATGCATTTACCCAAATATAAGTTTGCAAAATAATATATCAAATGGAGTTTTAATACTAAAAATATAGTATATGATTAAAATTAACCACTACATGTTTTATTACCAAATGATTTCACTGAGCTAGAAAATATGTAAACTGTACTTATATTGACCATTACAATTCTGTACTAGATATTTTGATGGACTCATTCAGTGTACCAGAACACATCCCCAGAAACATACCTGCAGGAGAGCACAGGTTTGGCAGTGCTGTTAGAAGAGTCACTGTAGATGAGAGAAGGGCATCCACTTGGTGACTTTTGGCATGGTGCCGTGGTGGTGCCAGCAGTGATGGCGCTGAAGACACCACTTGTGGTGCCAGTCTTGGCTTGTGACGGACAAGGGTACATAGACATACCTGATCAGAGGATGAGAGTCATCAGTACATAAAAAAATTTAGAAAAAGAAATGCTATTAATCCAATGACTCTATTCCATAACCTAGAACACTTTTTGTGATGTATATGAATATAATAAAGCTCATTTCTACTTTAATGGCAACATGTTTAGGATTTTATGTCATAGTAAAAATAAACATTGTAAACAATATATAATGGTATAAAAGGCCATAAAAGGCTTTCTAGCAAAGTGCTACCTATCCAATATTCGCAACTTTCTTTATAAGAAATAACACAGTACTGTGAAAAAAATACTATCTGAAAGCAGATTCTGATTGTGGCATATTACCTGCAAAGCAGTGAATACCAGGGACTGGGCACTGTTAATCTCCCCTGATTCTTTGCCTTCTCCCAAGAGGTCAGCTTCACATCCTTCACACTCCTGATTAGCTGGTTTTTCATCTGTAATAATAAGTGCATAAAAAAACTAATGCATGCTTAATTACTCAATGGTCTTCATAAAATATCATCACAACAAAGCAGGACTCATCTTAACATAATTTCCTTTAAAGGCATATTATGATAAAAATACTTTGAAATGTTACATCATATGTACTAACAAGTAAGTTCAGTACTGTCCTAACAAGTAAACTGCTGATATTCTATAATGGATTCTCTTGTTACATATGAAATCCTAGTATATCTAGCTATCACATATATTCTGTATCACCATAACAGACTAGTTATGTGTCAGCCATCAGATGTTTAATCTAAAGATAAAAACAAGAAATACATCTAATATTTAAAGAGGAATAACATTTGCACTTGTATTTTTAATGTATAACTTTTTTCCCCATAGCTATCCCAAGTAAGAAAATAAAAAATGTACACCCAAACGCAGATTAGGGAAACTTGCCTTTGTGTTTTTTCTTTTTCCGTTTCTCCTCATCCAGAGCCTGTTGGGCAGCTTTTACCACAAGAGAGACAACAGTCACTGCTAACTGGTGTACTTCTGTGTGGTCTGAACTCAAGACTTGCCTGAAATAAACATGGAAAAAATTAATTTACCAAAGCAGCTGCATAGAATGGATACAAATGCACTGTGTGTAATTCATATTCATAAACTGATATAATATTTTTTTTTTTTTTTGTCACCTGTGCATCACTGTTGCAATTTCTGTTGTTAAGCTGCTGTTGGGGCCCACAAGCTTCATTGGAAATGGGGAAGACAACAATGTTTCAAGTGACTTCAGGCACACAATGCTGCGGTCTGGGTCGTCACTATGAATAGGGCTACACAACCACTCTAGACATATACCTGTAGGAAATACATTTTCATCTTTTTTTATGGATATAATTATTATATTTTATGCAGAAAAAATATATACATAGATAGTAATTAAATGAATGTGTGAGTGAGTGAGTGAGTGAGTGAGTGAGTGAGTGAGTGAGTGAGTGAGTGAGTGAGTGAGTGAGTGAGTGAGTGAGTGAGTGAGTGAGTGAGTGAGTGAGCGAGTGAGTATCAGACAAAGAGAGAGAATAAATTAAAAAAAAAAAAAAAATACATGAGGTTGCTTCTCTTGTACAATGGTAAGAAGAATTGCAATTGTATTAGTATTTACCAAGTATGGCCTATACTGCAAATAAGACATACACATTATTATGCTTCTTCATTCTAATGTCTTAAACACTTTAGCAGATTCTTACCTAAAAGCAGGTAAAAGCGATCAGTATTAATGACTTCCGCACTCTTTGTAGGTGTTGTGGTGGGCGATGTTATGTTAACAGAGGTAGGACTATCAACAGCGCCATTCACTTCCTCCTCTCCAGCCTTGTCATAACCTCCAGAACTGAGCCAAAGGGCAGCAGCATAGAGCATGGGGGGCCAGGCACTCCGGTAATAAGGTCGCACTCCATCCACACTTTCATTTGAGTAGAATGCCCCTCCATCATGAGGCAGCTGACTAGAAAATTCTGTAAGCATAAATATACAAATAAATAAAGGAATAAAAAAGTATTTTGCCACCACTATCAGAAAAATTTTGTTAGTTATATAATTAGTGGGTTTATAAATGAAGTTTGTTTAGTGAGTCATACCTGGAGGTAAAGAGAGCAGTGCATGATCCTTCAGCGCTGCCAACCAGGACTTGGACAAAGCCACAAGCTCTGGCTGCACTAAGCTCAATAAGCTTTCTTCTGAAGACTGTGTAACAATCTCAGCTTCTGGTCTTTCATCCTCACCATTCTCATTTTGCTCCCCACCATCTGCACCTTTTAAAGCCACAGCATACACCTGTAAATAGATAACATACACATTATGCTTTCCTAATCACCTTACCAATGAGCTTCGAGTGCTAACTGAGGAATATCTGATCATGGTGACATAACCTAAGCAGCTTACGACTCACCTCAGCCCAGGCTTTAAGTATAGCTAGCTTCTCCAATGTGGCAGCACTTTCATTATACAGCCCCTTGGTATTGCCCTTATTCAACTTGGCCAAGGAAGACACTAAGAGCTGATGTACACGGCGCAGGTCATTCAAATCTCTGGCTACACCTGGGATATAAAGCATTTTTTTTTTTTTTTTAGCTATTGAGAATATAAACCAATATAAAATAAACTACAATTACAAAATTGAGTATCAACAATCTAATATTAGTGATCAAGTTCATCAAGATTAAAATGAGGAGGTACAAGAGAAAACAAATAATTTAATAGTGCATGATGTAACTGACAATCCTTTAGATTATCACCTTCAGGGAGTTGTCAAGAGTTTATAAATTCAGTTAATGACAAAGTATTTCTCTCTCTAAAAACTCCTTTCACTAAATTTTGACCTTACCTGAGCAGATCCAGGCACTGCACACCTCACATGCTCGAGCTGTTACATGTGAAGCAGTCTCAGGGGCAAAAGCAGGACGTAGGGCTGCCCCCACCTAGAATCCACAAGAAACAGTAATTAAACTAAATAAAAACTTTTGACACTTTCCTAATCAACAAAAGTGAATATGATACACTAACTTTTAGTAATGTTCTCTCCTTAAACAATAAAAGTGAAAATAATTATGCAGAACACAAACTCAGTAAAGTGTGTACAAGGATGATCCCCTAACAAATTATGAAATAGATATACTTTAGATATTCACACTATCTCTATCTCCATTAGCAAATGAGACAAAATATGACTCACCTGAGCTTGATATTGTTCAAGTATTACATGGCCTGGAAATTCAGGTTCCGGGATGTGGGCAAATTTATCAATAACAAGATGTAAGATGTGCAGGCCCTCTAACCGCAAGTCATCGCTATCGCTCGTCGCGCCCATGAAGCCCATGCGTACCAATTCACTCAAATGCAATACCAAGTAATCTCCTGAAGAATTTTAAAAATTAATGGGGAGTTTATGGACATTCTTTTCATCAGCTAGTTCAAATGCATATGTTTTCACAAATTTGTTGCTCCAAATTTAAGTACTTTTTTCACTTCAGTTAAGCAAAATATCCATAAGTAAAAATAAAAAAAGCAAAGAGAACACACACCCTTCATCTTGGTGGTCTGCATCTCCCTGGCAAGAGCTAAATCAAAGTGGGCACGATTATTCTCACACTCCTGTATGATCTTGGCAATGCACTGAGCAGCAAACACCCTTGTGGTCCACCGCGGGGGGATGCTTGGATGGGGGTCTGGCTCTCCCCCAGTGTGAATCTGTACCATGTCGTCATCATCTCCACCCTCACCTGCTTCTCCTGTCTCTTCACCTGATCCACTTTCTGAGGATGAAATGCGATAATTTATGTGATTATCAAATGGAAAAATATGTCATTTACCTTTAATATGACTTAGATGTACTAACAGAAAAGCAAACTTCTTTTTAATGCCAAGTGAGAAAAATGGAACAGGAAATTTCCTTACACATGCATATAAACCAACAAATCAGTTTCATTATTCTTACAAAATATCTTTGGAAGCACTAACCTGATGCACTGGTGAGGACTTCCCTACACAGTGTTAGCCACAGGTTAAGGTGAGAGGTTGCTAGAGCTTGCAATGTTGATGTTAAAGTGTGATGCACATTCCTTACAAGTACACAGTCTGTTTCTGTGTCCAAGAGCCCAAATAAGACACCAGGGAGGCCAGTCTCTGTCATTACCAATCCTTGGGGAAGATAAATAATCATTTAACTGGATTCATTATATATTGACCTTTCTGAAATGT